CAGTATATTAATATGTAATCACACGAATCCCCCTACAAACAACTTCAAAAGTCTTTTGTGGGTAAAAAGAAAGGATAGAATTTTATCTTATATAATACAGTTGCGCAGAGGAAAAAGACGTCAATTGGATCTTACGATCTGGAAGAATGTTTTTGCAAAATTTCATTTGTATGAAAGAGTTGATTCTACAAAAATGAGAAAGCATTTCTTTGGTGGGGCAGAATCAGGAAACGAGATCGTTTTAACAATAATCCATAAACGGTCTACTATTTATCTATACTGTTCATATGTGTTTGTTTCTGATATTATGAATGAACTGTAGTTGGGTGAGTATTTAGCTGAAAAGTGTGAAAATTATATAGCAAAAATGCAAATCATTGTGGTTCTACATATTATCAGGTCTATTGTATATCAAGTTCAAAATCTTAGAGACGTTTCGTGAGAAAATGAAAAAGATCCTCAGAAGAAACAAAAGTTCTATTCACAATTACAATGAGAGGTTATCCTCGATAACCGATTAATCAAATCACTCTGTCCCATGACAAATTTATATTTCCAATATATTCAGTTGGAAAAAATCAACTGATGAATGAGCAACTAGGAAAATTGAATAGTTAGAATGAGATTATGAATAGTAACAATGGGTAATGTTACTGTGGATGTTTGAAACACAGATGATAAACCATTGAAAACAATATTTGCGATATGTCTTTGAACAATAACAAATGTACCGATAAAGCTATACCTGATGAGATGAAAGTGTTTAACATTTTCAAAATTCATGATTATTCCTTCATGTAGTCCATTGATTAAATATTTTTTCACTCCTTATATGGGTGATTCCATTCGTTATGTTCATTAAAAAAAAAGATCACTTCGTCAAAGTATTGCAAGATATATTTTTTCATTAAACTAGAGCAAATTCTCAGATATTTACGAACTGCAAGGTGCCTGTGAAAATTGAAATTGTGCCTTCCCAATATGAGCTGTGGAACAGTTTATATGACAACGTGTTTGATGTTAGGTTTTCTTTTGAAGTTTTTTTCATAAAGGACTTTTGTCCCTCTTTCACAAGAACTTCTATACTTCTGCTGAATATGATGCTGGCAGATTGTAGTCGTAATTGATGTTTGCTTCCTGTGTTTACATCCATCGAACACATTTCTGAAATTTTTCACCAGTGCATTTCGTGTCTGGATGAGTGGCTGGACGATAGCGAATGTAACATACTTTATTCAATATTTAGTAGTCAGTATTTAGTATATATATGGTTGTGTATCTGGATGAAGAGGTGTGAGCCACAATAAACCCTTATGGGTTGCCGTGGAGGGTCGAATAGGCCCACTCACTTTAGACCTACCTACCTATCTGGATGAAGATTGACATATATGTTTGTATGTTTGTAATTTGTGTTTGTATATAAATTTATATGAACGAACCTCTTGTTGTAATATAAATGTGAAGAAAGACATGCCAGTCATATTATAAATGAATGTGGTCGATGTGATTTAAAATTTTATTTTGATCTTTTTAGGGCACTTTAAAAAAAGCTTGTTTTAAACGTTTTTTATCATTATTTTATTTTATATTTTTTAGTTTCAATCGTTAGTTATCGATCAATACGAAAATCCATCTATAAAACGGAAAGTCGTTCAACAGAGAAACTTAAGGAACGGGGAAAACTATTATTAGGATGAACTATATTCTATAGAAGTAGGTTGGTACCTACTCCTCCAGCATACCTTATAGAAGAATTAACTTCTTATATTTCTTAGGCTATTCATTTCATTGATGGCGTCATTATTACATGGCCAAGTCCTAGTTGATTTCGAACAGTCTAATTCTTCTATCAGGAGGCCTTCTATTGATGTGACTCTACTTAAAGCCACGTACGCTTGGCCAGCAGCGAACAACTTTGAACCCAAGTATACAGCAGCGTGGTCAACCGTACTACCCTGCATTTTGTGAACTGTACAAGCCCAGCATAAAACAATTGGCAACTTTCTACGTTCAGCTGTACCATGGCTGAATTTAGCTGGGAATTGCACAGATTTCGGTTGAATAACGTGGATCCTATCCTTGCCGAAGTCGATACGGTCTGATGGAATGTCCGTGTCATACATTTGTGCTCTCCGGAATCAGGGCCATATAATTTCTATTATATGGCCGATGACACCATTCACTAGACCCTTAGATACATCAACATTGTATCGCAACATCACCTTGGCCCCCACAAATATTTTCAACTCTTCAAGCAACCCCCCAGTCTTGTTTATATCAGGTGTACAAAATTATGTGTCCCTGCTATTTACAGCTGTGGTGATCTCTCGAACGGATCCGATCCTGGCAGCAGCATCAGGTCACGTTAATGATTGACAAACATTGCCATCGGTTCTGGACCACCATGCAAAATTTCAGGTCTATGGTATACCGGGAAGTAGGTCAAATTAAACTTGCAAGATTTGTTGACATACATACAAGTCAAGTTGAATAAAAGTTTTTGAAAAATAAATTAAAAATCAATCCCAAAGGAAAAAGGAATATTCGTTGATTGAATTTTATCATTTTCTACAACAATCCCACTAGATAGAATGTATTTTTTTATATCAGTATATTAATATGTATAATATGATTACCATTCATTTTGATTCCCTAATGAAAATCCTGAATTATTCCAAGGGGATGCACAAAACAAGTGCCTCCAGTGCTTAGGAGAACCCTTGGGATAATAAAGGATGTATCTTGTTATATCGAATTGTTTTTTTTTACTTGAGAATGATTTAATAAATTGAAAATAAAATTGAAAATTGAATATTTTCTAGGTGGAGTTGGTTTCTTCAAGTATCAACGAATATTATATTGCTTCCTATTGTTTGCTGTTACTGATAGCCACAAGTGTCGAAACATTAAAAAACATCTAAAAACATGCAAAAAACTCAGCTCATGTATCAAAACCTGGATATTCGTGTATGCTGTATTTAATGATCATCTCAATGAATGTGTTAGATATCGTTGCTTCAGCTGACATATTCAGTTGAATGAATGGTTTTGAACACTTCCTGTGTTACGATAACCCTATCAGGACGAATAAATTGATGGATGCAGCCGTTAACTACATGGTGAGCGATTGGAAAATCAGAAATAAAACTTCCTATGCTACTTCATGGTTACTTCAAATTGATGGTGGAACAGACTTTGGCTGGGAGACAGGATGATTCTCGCAAGAAAGAGAAGCCGTCACAACCAGTGCTTGCCCTTCCCCACAGCAAGTACAGCATCAAATCCTGCTTCAGATCCGGAAACACCATCCGTAGCAGCCTCACGAAAACCAGGCCACCATACGCAGACTGCGATACAGAGAATTACATTTACTGGATACCCTGTGAGTGCGGCAAATCCTATATCGGTGGAACCAGGAGGCCATTGAAGCTGCACTGCTGAGTACAATATAAAACACACAGCGAGGAGAAACCAGCAAATCGAGAATAGCGAAGAATGTTTGGACTCATCAACATATCATTAAGGGGTCCCAAGCTGAGATCATCCACAGGAAGGAATACTGGTTTGAGAGGAAGTTCAAAGAAGTTGCGTACATGTCCTCTAATGACGCATTCATCCAAGCTAGCGTAGGGATACGCAACATATGGAAACTTGCTATCAAGCGGAAAATTGTACTCCCTCCAAACGGTCAACTCCCGCTAAACCGGAGAGAGGTGAGAGGGGATAGGTGAAAGCGGTGGAATGACCTGTGAATTGTCATCTCTCGGATAAATAGTTCAGTCATCACCCGATACTAACAATCGAAAAATCGTGAAGTAACTTGGTTTGAAATCGTTTCAATTTATATAATTTTTTTTAACGTTTTTCTCTGTATTTTTCATATTTTTTTGAATTATTTGCCTATTTTTAATTTTTATTTATTTTTTCATTCGTCTTCACTCTGTGTTCATTTTCATCTTTTATCTTGATTCTGTCTATTTAAAATCTGTTTTTCCGTCAATCAGCTGTCTGACAACTCTCAGAAGTTGAGAAACTTGTGCGAGCTAAGGACTAACGAGGTCTTACCTTTTAACGTGTGATTCCTAACACGGTTGCAGAATCATCCCCGCTTCAACCAGATAATTTCTCTCGAGAAAAATATCTGTCGAGGCGGGAATCGAACCCACGGCCACGGGCGTACTACCACCGCGGCCAATTTGATATTGTTCATTTTATTGTATTTCCATTTCTATATACATGATTGATATTTCAGCTATTCATTTCAATTTTATTTGTCAATGGCAATGGAAGTCATAACTAGTAAAATTCACTGTGAGACCTTGTCAACCACTTATGTTTTTGTCTTTTTCAGTTTTCATAAGATTCCTCACACCTGAGTTAAGGCTTCTAGTGTCAAAAAATATGAATGAATGGATTTGGCCAATACATGTGTCGCGGTTTTATGAATCTGTTATAGTGAAAATTGAAATGAATTTTGAAAGATACGATGTCAAAAACCATCATCCTATATCTTCGACTTCTCATCTACTAGGAACACTCAATCATTCTGTTCTAAAATACATACATCTAATTATTGAGTTGTTGTTGGTCATAATCACAGGTAAATTTCATTTCTGTGTTTATTCAGAAAATGTCAGTATTTTTCATCATCGAAAGTATGAAAGTATGAAATTGAATGAACTCTTGTCATTGAACAAGTTGATATCGAAGTTTCATCACGACATAAAGTTCAGATCATGTTGAAGAGTGTTTGATGTTTCATTAAAGTATTGAAAATCAAGTTTTCCCAACTTATAATTATCAATACCTGAATGTAACTTTTTCTCATATGTGTTCCAGGTCTTTCACAACTTCAATCTTCATTAGTTTGGCTAGTTACTGCTCTAATTTTGTTTCAAAACCTCGTAAAATATAGAGAGTTCCGTAGATAAAACCACGTCATATATTCTTACCAAATACCTACCGAAACTTAGTTGAAAATTACAAAACAAGCTAATACGTTCTGCAGAGAGCTTATTCTGAAATTGATCAGCTTTATACTACCAAAATGAGCTAGGAAATATGAATATTCCGCCCTAGAATGAAACTTCTGAAGTACAGTATCATGAAATAGGAATTTATTTGTGAAATACGTATGAAAATTTTTGTGAAGGAAGCTAAGGAGCTATTTTTCTGAACGTCTGTCCATCATATCTATAATTTTCTCATGAGTAAATAGATAATATTATGTGCATGAATCACTAAAGCCTGGAAAATTTTCTGACTGACTGCAAGTTTTTCAGGCGATAATGCAGCAGAAATGATATTCAACATATGACTAACCGGCTACGTGAAACAAAAACTACTGTTGAAAATGAATAGAAAAGTCTTCATTGGAAATTCATTCATTGAATCTGCATTTCACTATTGTCAATTGAATACTGAACGAGAAATGCTCAGAAAGTGAGATAGAAAAAAAGGAACTTAGACGCTTTTCAGCTATACTGTTTACTCATATTTATTTGAAACTCCTTTTAAGCTGGCAGAACCACTCTGAATTTCTATATTTATTTTCGGGCCATGCTTTTAGGTTAAGTTTGTACTTTATTCCAGAATTTTTTGCTCTTCATTTAAAGGAGACTTCGTGGGTTCTGCTCGCTCAAGGTTAGGCTTTTAAGTTGATACAGAAAAACATATTTTCGAATTAGACTACGTGAAAACTTCAGGTTGATTTGAAATTTTTTTGCCCTCTATCACCGATTTTCTGTACGTTGTTTTTTTTTTAATGTGTGAGTTCTGCTAACTTTATCGTTAAGCTGCCAGAACGAAATCGAAATTTGAAAAATATGACCATTCAATAACTTTAGGCTGATTAAGGTTCCGTCATTACGATTTGGAATATTTTTTGCCCCTCGTTGGAATTGAATTTTTGAAGGATAACCAATAACACGCAAGAAATGGGCGCGATGAAAATATAATGATAATTTTGGGCTCATTTCAGACTCATATGACCTCTCTTCACAGACTTTCGATGTGTTGTTTTATTTAGTATATTTCATAATGAAATAATTCTTCCCAATTCTGAAACACATTAATCGCTCTCCCAATCATGAAATGTCCAGTTGTCTAGCATAAATATAAATTTTGAAATTCTTGAACCAATCTGAATAGTTCACGTTCAAACATGGCAGGATTGAATCGTTATATTCAAAGTTGAAATATATGGAATATCAATATTTCTTGGGCTACCGTCGAAACTGTGGTATTGATGAAATATTTGTAAAGAACAATTATCGAAAATTATCCCATTATAATTTTCTACATTATTCCATTCTGAAACATATTACAGTTTCCTAAAAAGATACCTCTTTCAATTAATATTACTGTCTATTCTATACATTTTAGGCTGATATCGGTAAGAAATACCTCAAGCGTAATGTTTTTCATCCCCTCTTCTCTTTGCTTTGGCCAAAGCTCCGTTTGAATATATAAAATCTACGTATAGACTCTTCTCTTCGTTTGTTGATTCCACTTCCATTATTAATTACCGGTGTTTGACTGAAACCAAATTATACTTACGAGAACATTTTTATGACGAAAGGTAGAACTGTCACCTCTGATGTGGTATAAATCCAAAACAGGTAATGTTTTCAAACATCAGGACTGCAAAATTCTTCTCGACGAGCGTTTCACCAATCGAGGTTGACATCTAAAGGACAAGAAGTAAAAAAAATTCGCCAACTTGGTTCGTTGAACGCGTGTCAAGAAGAGTGTTGTTTGAGAAAAGTACTTGTTTTAGATTCACAGTTTTCTAGATTGGAAAAGCTTGTATTATCCACAAGCGTAGCTGAAATGACAGTGTACAGAGTGGGCCGAATTGGACACTCTTGAAGAAAAACTCCTCTTTTTAAACTAGATAAAATTTCATGACAAACTTAATGGTGGAAACCCCATGTCAATCTATCATCACTCCTGAGTTACAGCACTCTCAACTCTCAGAAGAATTTAACTAATGAAGCTCAGAAAAAAATCCTTTTCAACAAAACGGGGGTCGCCTCACAATACTGCAATTGTCACCAATGGTGCGCATTTTGATAATAATTGAATAGTCAACCAAAGACTTAACCGTTGGCCGGCCAGTTCA